GCTTAAAAACCAGAATATGCACCATGTCTTCACATTGGAATTAACGGACACCCAGATTTCTATGAATACATCTACAATCCTTGCTATGGACTGGTACAAAATGTGTGATGAAAAGAAGCAATCAAGTTGTTCTTCTCGGCACCTTACTGGCCTTGCAAACCAAGGTTTTTAGACATGCTGGTTGCAGCAGTCTGTAATTTGATAGGCCACAGAGAGATTGCCACAGTAAGATGGAATAAATATTTGTGGATATTTGACTAGTTCATTAGAGTTTTCACAGTTAAGACATATGTTGCTAAAGGTTGTACAGTGTCTTTGAGCTCATTTTAAACTGCCAAGTTTTCTTATTCAACAATACTAATTTGGGTAACAGAATGGAGAGTATATTGAGGGAAAGTTGGCTGTAAAGCTCTGCTCAAAGTTGTTTCTAATCTTACACAAACAAAAAAATAGAAGGCCCCTTGAACCTGCTCTGCCATTCAATAAAATTGTGGCTGAGCTGATGATTCCACATCGCTGCCTACACTGGATAACCATTAAGCTTTTTGTTTTATCAGGAATCCAGCAACCTTAGAGACTTCAAATCATATTTTGATAAAGAGAATTCCAAAAACCCTCCCATCTCCTGTGAAAAAAAGCTGTGTCCTTAAGCTAGCTGTGTTTTTATGCACTCATAATTGCCCGTATTTTGAAATATTAGTCTTGGACCTACTATTTTCTCTCCCTCAAACTGAATGCAGAATTCAAAAATATTAGGATTGCTGCTGCCTAGGTTCACCGCTACGAGGTAGTTATTGAATCCTATGTTATTGCACTATGCCAGCTCTAGTATAGACTGCTGTCTGGTTGGTGCCAGAATTTGCTGTTCAAAGAAACTAGCCTGAAAACGTTCTATAAAGTCCATCTTTTGCCAATCTGACTTTTTTATAGTCTGTATGAGGATTAAAGTACCCATGATTATCACTTTCTGGTAAGTTTCTCTGTTCCTTCCTTTATACCCTGCCACGTGTTAAGAGGACTACTCTCAAGGGACTTGTATATCATTCTCACAAGTGATTTCTTTTGTCATTTCTAGCCTGCTATATCCTGGATTTCTGAATGTAGCTAGAGTGGACAGCCAAAAACTTTTTCCTAGGGTGGAGGTAGCTATTACGAGGGGGCATAGTTTTAAAGTGAGTGGAGGTAGATGTAGGGGAGACGTCAGAGGTAGGTTCTTTAATCAGAGTGGTATGGGCGTGGAATGCATTGCCAGAGAGGGTAGTGGAGTCGGCCTCATTAGGGGCATTTAAGCAGCTATTAGATAGGCATATAGATGATAGTATAAGAAGGGTGGAGGTTAGATAGACCTTAGGTTTAGGGTAAAAGTTCGGCACAACATCGTGGGCCGAAGGGTCTGTACTGTGCTGTACAATACTGTTCTATGTTCTATAGCTCTTTTTGTGTTAATACGATAATTAAGTGAGACACCCTGCCACTCTTTCCTCCATGTCCTTCCTAAATGTCAAGTATGCTTCAACATTCAGGTCTCAACCCAAGCCATATCTCTGTAATGTCTATCAGATTGTAGCAACTTATTTCTATTTGTCACCATCAGTTCATTATTTTAAAGGGCTATGTGTACTCAGATGCAGAGCCGTTAACTTTGTCCTTTTATTCTAGCCTTCTCTGTTCATTTACTTTTGTATTTGTACTATCTATCCCTTCCTGTCATAGTGCATTTATCATTTTCCATATTAATTTTCTCTTACTTGTATTGTCTCTATTCTGATGGACCATTTCTTCCCAAATTTGACCACTATCTTCTGTTGCCCACTAGTTAAAATGGTACATGAGTTTAATGTGTTTATTCCCAAGAGATTACATTAACTGTTTTCCAGAGTCTATGGCAAATATTTATTCCCTGTGGGTTAAACGCCATAGTCAAGCAAGTGTCAAAGTAACAAATTGCTATATTGATGGTATAATGCAGTTTACTGTACAATTTTTCAGAGAAGAAACTCAGGAATCAGGTGAAGAGGCATTCCATTTAATCTTTGGCAAGTTTTGTTATATCAATTAGGTTGGAAATAACAACATTTGACAAGTAGTTGTGTGTATTGAGTTTTATGTTTTATAATCTCTAAAATTTAGGAAGGAAAGGGATGAGGAGTTGGAATCAGAACTGATCAAGTAGCAGCTATTTTGGCTTCACTGCAGGGACCTGGTATGTGTGACCACTTCATATGTTGAATATTATGAAACTCCATACACCCATACCCTGAAGCATAAGTAGTTTTTAAAAAAAAATTTAGTCAGTTTCAACACAAACAGGTATTGCTGTGGTAGTCAAGAGAGTGAGATTTGTCATAGCAACACTAGTTAACAAAGCAAAATGCTGAAGGCTTTCAATCTGTACTTGGTGGGGGTGGGGGTGTTAAAATATTGCTATGCTACCCACTTCTCATTTAAAAAAAACTACAAAAAATACTGTAATCTCTTACTGCCATCTGTGCAAGGTTAGGTAGGCATCCTATTGACAAAAACTGCCCAATGTACTTTGTTACACAAAGTTAGAGGCTAGATCTCCATATGCACACACATCAAGCCAACAAGGCCTTATCCTCTTGTTTATAAGTAGTAGTAGTAGGATCACTATCCCATATAACAGACTTTTAAGTCAGTAAAATACATAGAGGAAAGTTTCTTAAGTTGGAGCATCAATTTCATACAAAATAATACCAGTTCTGCTCTACATTAGCTTTCTCCAATTTAGTTCATCTCATCCTATTAACTTTTCTCTATTGTAAAATTTATTTTTGCAGACTGGGGAAGAAATACTGCACTTTTGTGAGTTGAATTACTGTGCTGCTTTACAAGCAGCAGGGAAGGGGAGATAGGATGAGCTGACAACAGGGTGAGTGCAGAATGAGATTTGGCCAGCAACAATCACCTGATTGCTTGTATAAATGCGACCAGTTTTGTGTGCTGGAAATCATCAGCCTAATGATAGCTCTCTAATCAGCTGCTGGACAGATAAATAGGTTGGATGTTTACAATAGAGCAAGATGACTGGACTGCTGGAAGAAGAAATTCTATGTCTCAATCTCCAACTGCCTGAAACCTGAAGAAAGCGTTATTTTCTCCCACCAATTGCTTTAAGCTGTTGCTTTTAACCAGTAACTGAGACAGTTCCTGTGAAGTGAAGAAACCTAAAGATAGGAGAACAAAGAACAGAAGGTCACAGGAAGCAAAAGGAACATCTCGAAGAACCTGGTGGACTAGTAATATCAAATTATCTTCTTTCTGCTCCCCCCCCCCCCCCCCCCCCAATCCATAATACTACTTTGTTTGTATGTGCGTGCATGTGCACCTATATAAGGGCCTTAAAAGACATTTGAGTTTTAATTAGTAGAGTTAAACATTGATAGTTCAGTGTTTTCAGAACTTTCTATTAACCAGATTCCATCAGACAGGGGAACTGAGGATGTTGTGTATCTTGACTAAATCATTAATTTTTGTGGCGACCCCAGGAGGAGTGGGGCTTGAGTACTTTTCCAAGTGGGTTGTCACAACAATTAGTACAAAGAGAAATAATCAGCAGTTTATTGGGCAGGTTTTAATACTTTAATCTGTTCAATAGTCAAAATCAGTTTTAAAAATAATTCTGTCTGAGGAATCCAATTACAATGGACATTGCCAATCGAAAATAAGTCAAACTTTCAATGGTGGTACTCTAGCTCGAAGGAGGTAGACTGAGGAAATACCATGTCAGTCACCAGGTTGTTGCTGCTTTAACACCCAGAGATTTGGCAGTGTTTTAAAGCTTGTTTGCCATGAAGCTGGCAGATTTGAGAAACATGATTAATATCTCAAATTGTTGGAACCTTTGCTGTTTTTTCCTTTAAATCACTTTTTGGTTTGGAGCTGAGAGATGGTGACCTTTGGCCTGTGAGTAGCAGCTTGTTTTTTTTGAAAGAAAAAGGAAGAATAAACAAACTGATATTTGTTTGAGAACTGGCTTGGGAGGTTGATTACAGGGTGATTCTTGATCAAAGAACATTGTAGACATTTTGTCTCCAGTGATGCATTAGGCTTAAGTTTTGGTAGATGTTGAATGTTAAAAGGGCCGTCACACAGAGGCCAGTGCCAACCAGTCTAACAAAGACTGTTGAAAACAGGAGAAACTAAAGTTTGAATTGGTTTTGAACAGTGATATTTGTCAGGATTGTGGCTGCCAAAACTACAGGATGGAGGTTTCATTGCTTCCTGGTTATGCTCCCATTACCAACTTATTGAAAGTTCAGAGAACAGAATCTCTGTTATAAAAAGTAAATGAACATTTCTTGGAGCCTATTGGAAGCAAACGTTGCCTTCAGAAATCAAGCAAGATACAATGCCATGTGCCTGTGGAAACTGCTCAAGTGAACCCGTCAGTTACGTCTCATTCTTCTTTTAAATTTATCCCTTAACTGTATGAGTTGAGCGTCGTAAGGGCAAAATTAAGTTTAAATAGTAGATATTAATTACATTACAGAATCATTTAACTTTGCTCAGGTAAAGCTACTACATTAATAAACAAAATAATTAATTTATTAAGCTATAAACATGGTGATGGTATTAATTATTCAAGAAGTTTGGTTAGAAACCATTGGGGCAATTTTGGGGGTCATTGAATGCTTTAATTTTATTGTGCTGCAAATGCAGGCATGGGGGCACTGATCTGATTTGGCAGTCTGTCCTTGTGTTGTAATAAAATATATAACTTCATTTTAGGACGGTCATTATTCTGCTTTGTTTCTTCTTTAGGAAGAATCTTGCTCCCATTTATCCTTAAACTCTGACAGATTTTTGGGTAATAAAGGAATGAAGAAATAAAGGGAATTGTATAGGAGGGTGGGGTTCAGCCATCAATTTATAGAATGGCTGAGTCAGCTCAAGGGGCCAACTCCTGGGTTAGTAAAATTATCAGAGTATGCACGTACAGTCTGGTCTCCTTCAGGAAAAAAACAAGTATCAAGGTGTACAAGGCTGGAATATTTATTGGTAGGGTTAGACATTTTGTGGGGAGGTGGATACTCTAATTTCAATTAAATTCAATCCTATCTTTGTCTCCTTCAGAGATTTTACTTTCAAAAATCCCTTTGTGCAATTTGATAGTCCAGCAGGCTAATGTGAAAAAGTACCATCTACATTCAAACAACAACAACTTATATTAACAGTGTCTTTAATGTAAAATATTCCAATGTTTCACAGGGGTGTTTATCAAACAAAATTTAAAACTGGGCTTACATTCAGCTCAAACATGCCAGATTTAGTTTATTTTGTACACAAATCTTTAAAAAAAAGTCAAAACTGCAGCCTGACAAAGATTGTTAATGTAAACCTAGCTCCAAAGAATGAAAAATGCACATGGAAGCCAACTCTGCTGGTGAGATTAAACACAAATGGACCAAAACTATGAAGGATTAATAAATGACAAGCTACAGTTTGACTCAATAATCAGCAAGTGCAATGCTGGGACCAGAAAGCTCATCTAGAGTATCGCTGTACCTAGGGTAAACAAATTTGTGCTATGGGACAGGAATTGCGGCCAGAGAACTTATAAAGGCACTACCTCATCAGATGCCCAGGCCACATCCCTATTAATATTGCATGGTTTCTGCATAACCAATTAATCTTGGGTTAAAACCTATGCTGTTAATTAAGGAAGGAACATGCAACTCCAGCTGCTCTGCCAGAATAAGTGTATTGATGCAGAATTACATGGCTCAAACAAGTCTACACAAAATAAGCAAACTCCCTGACACCACAAAAAGGCAAGTGTACTAAATGTTTTAAAGTGGGAAACCAATGGGTTGCTTATTGAAAGAGTTCCTGAACCTCACGCTCCTAGGGTAACCCAAGAACCTTCAAGGAAGAATGAGATTAAAGCAATGCCATGATTCTCATCAACTGATTGGAGCAGTCGTGTTGTCTCAAGTGAATCTGTTCCTTCACCCTTCAGGTACCCATTTATATTTTCATACATTTAAAAAAAAAGAAATTGAAGAGGGAAAATGAAGTCTAAGTGGAAGTGGCATAGCCCCACGCAGCAGTACAACAGCCACAGAAACTCAAAACAGTTGATTACAGTCATTGTAGCTGTTTGTAATATGGCCATTCACAAACATGGGCCAGTACAGCACACAGTCTCTGGCCCCTTTCTGGAAAGTCTAAAGCATGGTGTAAAATAGTGGTGGGCGAAATCACACCAAAAGGTTTAACAGACTCATTAGACTCCCAGCGACCGGAACTTTGCATTGGATGCCAACAGCAAGTTTCAACACGCCTCGCCTGGTGCAGGAGGTGACGTGGAACAGCGAATGTAGGGTGCCTCTTGAGTCAGGTCTTTGAGGACTTTGAACACAAGGTCCGGCATGTGGTCAGTTATCATCTTGGGGCTGATCAGAATGTTGCTGAAGAATGATGCATCACACCACAACGCACAGTACTTTGCTTCGGAAAAGCAGAAACTAGATGGAGGGAAAAGACAGAGGAATTAGATTGAACTAGCTATGCAACCATTCATTCCAGTGGAAGGTTACCAATACCTATAACAGAAATTTTGTTTTTAAGAAGTTGTATTTATAGTATTTATATCTTCACACCATCCAATATGCCAATTAAATACTTTAATTGTAGGTCCTGCAGTTATATCGGGAAATGCATAAACCAATTTGCATATAGCAAGCACCTACAAACAGCAATATGTTCAAACATCCAGACTCGTAGTAAAACTATTTATGGTGGAGGTAAATGCTGACAAGAATTGATCTTTGAATAATAGCTGTGGAATCTTTCAAATCCACTTGACGGAGCAGGCAGAGCCTTTATTTAACTTCTCAACTGAAAGATGTAACCTCCAATAGTGCAGGAGTACCTCACTGTGCTGCACTGAAGTCTTAACATTAAATTTGCAGGACCATGGGGAAAAAGCAAGCAGCGAGTCAAACTCTTTCAAAAGGGCCAGCAAAGAACAATGGGCTAAATGGTCTCTTACTGAGCTATACCTAAGATTCCCAAGTACAAGTCATACAATTTCCTGATACTCTGGTGCGCACAGATTCAAAATAGCCTTCAAAATTCATGAAAGAGGATGATTCAGAGTGGGACTAATTGAGTAGCTGTTTGAAAAAGCCAGTAAAGAATCAATGAGCCAATGGGCTTCTTCTGTAGTTTGTGATTCTATCCTTTAGACTGACACCAGTTGTTTCCAACCTCTGTTAAAAGCTATAAGGTTTGTAGTGCACATAAACTGATTGCCAGCAGTTCAATTCAGACATGATATATTTTCATTATTTTCTCTGAACAAGCTTATCCTTCATAAATTCTCACAGCAAAAATCTCATCTAACATCTGCTACTTATACATAATGACTTTGAAAGAATATTTTTAAACAGAATGGCATAATCACCTCCCTGTGCTGTATTTTTCCATAATGTAAATGATCCTCCCTGGAAGAGAGAGTTGAGGGCCTTGAAAAGGTGAACTCGAAGGTGATTCATCAGGGATGCTGCTGTACGAACTGGATTGGTGCCCCATGAGATTCTGTTCCGCGAGAAGTGGCTCGGTCAGTCGCCCCTGTTGACTGTTGTCCAGATAGTCAGAGAAACTGGCTGGATCACCTCCAAATATCTCATACCAACATCCGCGCAGCAGGATTTGATACTGGACAGAGTACAAGAAGACAACAGGTGGTTAGATATACAGCACATGTGGGAGGCAGTGGCAGAGTGGTAATGTCACTGGACTAGTAATCCCAGAACCCCAGGTTATTGTTCTGGGGACGTGGGTTTGAATTCTCCCACAGCAGAGGATATAATTTAAATTCAATGAAAGAAATGTGGAACTAAAAAGCTACTATATTGGTGACCACTGTCAACTGTCATAAAAACCCATTTGGTTCACTAATGCCCTTTAGGGAAGGAAATCTGCCATCCTTACCTGGTCTGGATTACATGCAACTCCAGACCCACAGTAATGTGGCTGACTCTCAAAAGCCCATGATCGATTAGGGAAGATCAATAAAGGCTGGTCTGGCCAGTGACGCCCACCAGAATCTCAGAATCCCTGTGGAAACAGGCCATTCAGGCCATCGAGTCAACCCAATGCTCCAAAGATCAGCCCACCCAGACACACCCGCCTGTAACCCTGCATTTCCCATGGCTAATCCACCTAGCCTGCACATCCCTGGACACTATGGGCAATTTCCCATGGCCAATCCATCTAACCTGCACATCTTTTAACTGTGGGAGGTAACCGGAGCACCTGGAAGAAACCCATGCAGACTCTGGGAGAACGTGCAAACTCCATACAGACAGTTGCCCGAGGGTGGAATCGAACCCGGGTCACTGGTGCTGTGGGGCAGCAGTGCTACCCACAGCCACTGTGCTGTCCTCATCTGGTGAGTGAATGAAAAGAAAAAGCAGAGATTTTCCAAATGGTTTCTCTCTCTAACTCTACTTTCAGGCTTGAAAATTGTCATGACCGTTCAGTGAAAACTGAAGGGGTTGCTGGGCGAGTAGGGGCCGATTAGCATGGGATATATAGCTGTTATAACTTGCTCACAGGCCCATAACACCAACTGCTGCCTCAGAATTCGTGACACCAAAGTATCAGCTTGCAAAGCCAGTACCGCGGTCCTGACATGAGGCAGACAGACTCCATGACTGAATGATAGAGATAGCAACAACTGCAGATGCTGGAGTCACAGACAACACAGTATGGAGCTGGAGGAACACAACAGGACAGGCAGCATCAGAGGAGCAGGAAAGTTGATGTTTCGGGTCAGGACCCTTTCCTGCTCCTCTGATGCTGCCTGGCCTGCTGTGTTCCTCCAGCTCCACACTGTTATCTCCATGATTAAAAGCTGAAATTTTAAGGTAGCAACGTCACTCTCAGAAAAGGACAAACTCTGAAGACAAAGTGCATAGACTATATTTATACTCCTATGAGGGAAAAGATTAAGGTGCTTCAGATGATTACATGTTTTTGATACATTAGAAAGGGAGAAACCATTTCTTTTGAAGGGAAATCCATAATTTAATTTCCTGTGGGATATATTATCCTCACATATTGAGGGGTCCACAGTCTGGTTTTCCCTACCAGTGGGGACATCTTCTCAATGTCTGACTTATTGAACCCTTCCATAATCTTAAAAGACCTACTTCTGGTCACCCTACAGCCTTCTCTAGAGAAACAAAAAAAAACAAACAAACAGTCACAGTCTGTTCAATCTTTCCTGCTAGATTCTACCTCTCAATTCTGGCATCACCATTGTAAATCTTTTCTTACACATTTGCCAATTAATATCTCCTTTTATTATGGAGATCAGATCTGTGCATGGTACATCAGGAGTGGTCTCACCAGTGCTTGATACAAGTTTACCGTGTGTTTCAACTGCAGCCCATAGGAATTAATATTAGTGCTCTGTTTGTTTCGAACTCTTGAAGTAAAAAGTAGTTTTACCAAATGCTTTACTGAATTTATTACTGAACATATTTATTTTAGCATGGGGTCATTAACATAAGGACTGCATTTCTCAAGGGTAAAATTTTGTCAAACATACATTAGCATTTCCATTCAAACAGCACTGCAAAACATTCTTGGCTACCTTAGGCCGGTTGCTTTGGGCAACTATTCTCAATATTCTTCTTTTCAGGTCTCCCATGTTGCAAAGGCTCAACCTGGAAATGTAAAGGTTCAAACCAATACGAATTAGTATGTAGCACTGGCAATCAATGGAGTAAAATTTTGTGTGCCGTTCAAAGGTGCTGTACACTGACCTTGGAATGAGATCCTTGCCTAGTACAACGGATATGATAAATTTTTTGCTATAATCTGCCAAGGGCTTACTTAAAAGAAAAGAAAATTCTTCATTAGCATGGAGATACTGCTACATGTTATTGTTAGACAGAAGACAACTGAATCTGGAACGGATGTCCTCATTTAAATTTGGCTCAATATCAAGAAAAAGCTATTTTGGATGAAAGTAAAGATGCAGTCACTTAACTAGCACAGCGAAGTAAAAATCTACTAGTAGCAGAAATTGTATAGTCAGTTCTTCTGTTTGCGGGATGGTATAGTGGGTACCATTACATGTAGACAGGGCAAAGTCTGCCACAGAGTTCAAACTATGCACACATGGACAGATCTCGAGTATTGCTGAAAGAAAATCACATTTTGTCAAAGCCTTTCATCAGGACAATTCAGAAGATTGTCAATTTAAGGAGAAAACCAACATTTATACTGTATGAGAGGATAGTGCTGATTGGTTAGCAAGTAGGGTCTGACTGATTAGCGGCGTTTCCGTGGAAAATAATGCTGATTGACAGTTAACTGCCATGCAGAGCAATGTGACTGTACCCAACCTGCCTGTGGTTGTAAAATTCGCAACAGTATTTAACATTAGATGTAATTCTACAATGGACAACATTTGCTTGATAATCCTGAATACAAGAGGAATTATGCTGACAACCAAATTAGGCATGCCATGTGACGCACTCACTGTACTGGAAACTATATATATTAATATGAGAGGGCCCTGTTTTTGCAGACAGCAAGATTCATATACCCAGTGTGCCAGTTTCAACTGAACAAAATAGCTGACAGTCATTCACTGATTCATTTCTCAGGGCAATGCACTGACCAGTCAACCTGCCTTGTTTAATTAATGGGTGTTTTGTCCATGACAACACCTTTACCAGTGCCCACTTGCCAGGCAATCTGCACTATCCTCTTAAATGTTGGTTTTCTCCTTGAACTGGTATTCTTGTGAATTGTCTTCATGAGTGCAAGACAAAAAGCTTTGACAAGGTAAGTCTTTTTCAGCAAAACATAAGTTTTGCATTACCAAACGGCAAGTCCATTAGTTAAGTATCTCTTAATTGAAAGAGTTCAAGGAAGACATTAAAATAGGTAAGTGCCCAGGGCCCGATGGGAGCTATCAAGGGATACTGAGGGAGGCAAGAGAGGAGATTGCTGGGGTGTTGACAGAGATCTTTATATCCTCTTTAGTCACAGGAGAGGTCCCAGAAGACATCTTTTTGTTGACGGGCAACAGGGATAATCTAAGAGATTACAGGCCGGTGAGCATTATACCAGCGGTAGGAAAATTATTGCAGAATATTCTTAGAGAGAGGATTTACTTGCATTTGGAAGTGAATGGACTTAATAGGGATAGTCATCATGGCTTTGTGTAGGGGGAAGTCTTGTCTCAGGCTCGCTCTGCTTTTTTACCTCCCTTCTGAACCTTCTGCATTTCTCTTGGTTCTCAATTGTATTTTCTAACAGAAGTTACATTGTGACAAGTGTTCATCTCCTTTTACATCTAGGGTGCTCTGGATTTGTTTGTCCTCCCTTTTCCTTTGAGTGAATATACCTTGACTGTACACAAACCATCTCTGCTTTAAAAGTAGCCCCTTGTTTAGTCAGATTTTCCCAAAAGTCTCTTGCTCCAGCCTATTTGACCTAGCTCGCCCCGCTAAATTTTGTTACTCTGGACTGCTGACTGTCCTTTTCTAATACCATCCTAAACCTTAGGATAGAATGATCACTGTCCACTAGATGCTCGCCCATTGACACTTGATCTAATTGGCCCAAAGTGCATCGTTTCTTGTTTGACAGGACACAAATTGCTGGAGGAAATTTTCCTGAACATAATCCAGGGTTTGCTCCTCTCTGCCCTTAATACTACCCATGTTCCAGCCTACATTCACGTAGTTTATAAACTGGTTATAACCAGTGTCTTAATGTTGATAACTCTAATTTCCCTTCAGATTGGCTCCTTTACATCCTTCCCACTAGTTGGTGGTCTATAAACTACACTAAGCAATGTAAATGCACCCTCTTTGTTCCTTAAGTCTAGCCAGATTGATTTTGTCCTTGAAACCTTTAGGATACCCTCGTTCTTCAGCAGTGAAATGCTCTCCTTAATCAATGTCACCATCAATCCTCCTTTCCTGAGTAACATCACCTGCCTAGAATATTTAACACTCAGTCCGGTGCTTCCTTGAGCCAGGTCTCTTATCGCTACGTTATTACATTTCTACATGGCAATATTTTTCGTAATTCATTTGTGGGATGTGGGCGTCGCTGGCTGGCCAGCATTTCTTGCCCACCCCTAGTTGCCCTTGAGAAGGTGATGAGCTGTCTTCTTGAATTGCTGTGGTCCACCTGCTGTGGGTTGACCCACAATGCCTTTAGGGAAGGAATTCCAGCGACAGTGAAGGAATGGCGGTATATTTCCAAGTCAGGGTGGTGAGTGGCTTGGAGGAGAACTTGAAGGTGTGGTGTTCTCCTGTATCTGCTGCCCATGTCCTTCGAGAGAAAAGTGGTCTTGGATTAGGAAGATGTTGTTTGAGGATCTTTGGTGAATTGCTGCACTGCATCTACTGAGCATTGGTGGAGGAGGGAATGGGTGCATTTGGGCTGATTTTTCTTGGAATAGTGTCAACCTTCTTGAGTGTTGTTGGAGTCAGACCTGTCCAGGCTAGTGGGGAGTATTCCATCACAGTCCTGACTTGTGCCTTGTAGATGGACTGGCTTTGGGGAGTCAGAAGAGGAGTTACCCACCGCAGTATTCCTAGCCTTTGACCTATCTTTGTAGCTACTGTGGCAGATGCAGTTGAGTTCTGGTCAATGGTAACCCCCAGGATGTTGACAGTGGAGGATTCAATAATGGTACCACCAGTGAATGTCAAAGGCAGTGGTTAAATTGTCTCTTATTGGTGATCGTCAGCCTGGCATTTGTGTGGTGTGAATGTTACTTACAACTTGTCAGCCCAAACCTACATATTGTCCAGATCTTGTCGCATTTAACAAGGACTGCTTCAGTATCTGAGGATTTGTGAATTGTGCTGAACATCCCTGCTACTGACCTTATGATAGAGAGAAGGTCATTGATAAAGCAGCTAAAGACGGTTAGGCCCAGGATACTACCCTGAGAAACTCTTGCAGAGATGTCCTGGAACTGAAATGACTGACTTCCAACAACCATCTTCCTACGTGCCAGATATGTCTCCAACTAGTGGAGAGTTTGCCCTGATACCCATTGATTCCAGTTTCGCTAGGGCTCCTTGATGTCACAGACTGTCACTCTCACATCACCTCTGGAATTCAGCTCTTTTGTCCATGTTTGAACCAAGGCTGTAATGAGATCAGGAGCTGATTGGTCCTGGTGCAAACCAAGCTGGGCGTCACTGAGCAGGTTATTGCTGAGCAGGTGCTGCTTGACAGCACTGTTGATGACACCTTCCATCACTTTACTGATGATCGAGAGTAGGCTGATGGGACGGTAATTGGCGGTTGGATTTGTCCTGCTTGGCAATTTTCCACATTATTGGGTAGATGCCAGTATTGTAGCTGTACTGGAACAGTTTGGCTAGGGGAGCAGCAAGTTCTGGAGCACAGGTCTTCAGTACGATTGCTGAAATGTTGTCAAGGCAGTATCTGGTGTCTCCAGCCATTTCTTGATATCACGGAGTGAATTGCATTGGCTTAAGCCTGTTGTCTGTAATGCTGGGGATCATTGGAAGAGACGGAGATGGATCATCCACTCATCACTTCTGACTGAAGATTACTGTGAAAGCTTCAGCCTTATCTTTTATACCTATAACTCCACATTCTTATTTACTGTACTCTGTGCATTCACATACATGCCCAATTCCCTGATTTGAACTGCAGTATTTTCTCCCTTTCTCCCATTTCATCTTTCTATGTTCTACACCAGTGTTAACCTGCTCTCCAAGTACTTTATGCACCCAAGTATTCCTCTCTAATATTCCGCTCCTAGTTCCCACACCTCTGCTAGTTAGTTTAAACATCCTCCCACTAGCACTAGTGAAACATTATGCAAGGAACTCAGTCCCTGCTTTGTTCAGGAGCATGATGTCCAGGTACAATTTTCCACAGAGCCAGTCCCAATGTCCCAGAAATCTAAAACCAGTAGCATCTTTCAAGCGATACATTCTGCCTTATCCTTTACTTCTGTTCCAACTTGCATGTAAGCACTGGGAGTAATCCGGAGACTACTTCATTTGAGATTCTGTTTGCTAACGTCTACCTAGCTCCCTAAATTCTGATTGCAGGACCATATCTCCTTCTGACCTGACTCAAGTGGTACCAACATGGACAAAAATTTCTGGTTGTTTCCCAGAATGTCCTGTCACAGCTCTGTGGTATTCTTGACCCTGGCAAGGGAGACAACATATCATCTTGGCCACAGCGACAGAAACATCCTTACTGGTGTATTCCCTTACTAATGAACCCCTATTACTAAAACTCCTCCTATCATCCTCCTCCCCTCCTGTACAGCTGGCTCTGTTAGCATTCCTATACTGTATCGGCCAGCCTCTACAAGCAGCAGTCCAGGCCACATCTCACTGCTCTAGTCAGCCTATTCCATTCGAACTTCTGAGTTTTTAAAATATGTAACCTATTTTTCTAATCAATCCATTCAGAGATGTCATTACACACCTCTGGTGCAGGTGGGACTTGAACCTGGGCCTTACAATCCAGGGGTTAGGGGCACTACCAATGTGCGACCAGAACATCTGTGTTTGGCACTTCTACCTGAAAAGGTCCATCGATTCAAGGGGCATTCATTCAATTTTAAATCTTGCTGTAAGAGTGAAAACACTGGGATAGTGACTGAGAATGCACTCAGTTACAGCTCCTGTACCACAAATAAACCAACAATTCCCCTCAAATGAAAACAGTTTGTGCATGAAATTCAAATTCTTAAAAAGAATGAAGTCCGTCTTGGCAATACCAATTTAGTGACCATCTCTTAAAGGAAATCCCATTTCACAGAAAAGTCCATGCAGTTGTTCAACACCTCTCACCTTAGCAGACCTCCTGGAGGAGAAAACGCATAGCATCGAAGTGCTGGGAAGGATGCGTGGAGCATTATAGCAAGGATCGAGGCTGCTCCTGCCCCCAGGCTGTGGCCAGTTATAATCAGCTTGTATTCCTACAATGGGAGAGACAGGCTTACTCCAACAACACATGATCATTTCAAACAACTAAAAGCAAGCAGTTCTGTAGTTGGCAATTGGCAGAACACATTCAATTTTCTTTCTTAGCCTGATATCCAAGTGGGGAAAGTGAGTTGCAAAGAGTTCTAATCCTCTCTATACTGTTCCTGATGCACTGATTGTGCCTGGCCACGTTGTTTAAGTGGACAATATCCATTCACAGCGATCAGTGGAACCCAATACTGACTCAAACATGCGTTCAGCAGGGTCACATTCAGGAGCAGGGAGCCGATCCTTTCCAGTACCGTCTTGACTCAGATTCTGTAGTTCGGGACAGATCAGGCACTAGTGCTGGGATCTTACTGCCCTGTATGGCTCTGTTTCTCATGGCTTTGAGCAGCCACAAACTGCTCCGGTGTCACCTACAGCCTACGATACACTGCGTCGGGAAACTATTGTTCAATTTGTATCTCTGGTTGTTCTGCACTGATCACATGACCATGATAAAGACACATGGCAAGTAGAAAGATAATTCTTATCCTTTAGACTTCAGACATGACCTTTAGCACAATCAGGATAAGTGTCATAAACAAACCCTTCAGTATAGCAAAATACAAATGCAAGAGGAGTCACTTATAGGAGCACAAGCTTCCAGGAAGTTCTCTGGAACAGTAACTAGTTAAACACTTATATAAAAGCAATCACAGACACAATGCTCTAACATCTAATGCTATAATGGGTGTGGAAAACTACTAGGAATAAAGAGGTTTCAGTTGTTACAGAACAGACATGTGGGTTGCTCTCTTTGGAACAGAGAGATTAAGAGATTTACTTTAGGTGTTCAAAATTTTGAGGCGATTCTGAAAGTTTTGCTTTATTTCTTCAGACTCCATCAACAGGTGGTTTGGTAACCAGAAAGCTCTGAGTTAACATAAACAGCAACAGAACTGATGGGAATGAGATTTTTCGTTATTAAATTCAACAAGTTGTGATCTGTCATGTGCATTTAACAATAATTTTAAAAGGATTTTGGTTTACTAATTAGAGAAAGAAAATTTGCAGGGCTACATGGGAAGGACAAGGGGAGTGGAACTAATCAGATAGCTCTTTCTAAGTGTTGGCACAGGCATATTAGATCCAAAAGTTTCCTCTGCCGCACGAATCCAGAACAGTAAGTGTAAGCATTGCAAGGCAATTAAAATATCAGAGTAACCTGGTATTTAAAGTAAAGTCTGTAATCAGTTTTACACAGACACCTACAAGGTTGGTGCTTAACCACCATAAAAAGAATAATATGACTGAGCATTCACACAGAATCCATATATTACCCACTGTGTTTGGATTATTGTTTCAGTGTATTACCCAGTTACTGTATAAAAAGATTGTGCGATGGCAGACTGAACAATTCAATGATTATATCAAGAGAAACATTTATAATAAAAAGAATTTACCATAACACAAAAGAGTAATGAATTGTCCCGATATATATTAAAGATAATTATATTCCAATAATTTTCACTTTGATTTCCTCAGGTCATTCACAGCTAAAAACCTCAAAAGAAAACTGCAGCAGCTCCTACACAGTTCCCATTAAACATTTAGTTTTTTTTTCCCAAAACACATCAAACAGAGGCAGATATTCATAATTAATATTTATAAACTCACCGGCACAACTGAGAAAGCTTGGTTTAAAATCCCATCATCAATTAGCTTCTTGTAAATGTAACGTGCAGCTTGCATAATACCCTTGAAAGAAGTGGTTTAAGTGGTTAGTTAATGGCTATTGTACCTGATTTAGAGCACAGCTGGATGTGCCATTTGAGATCTGCACAGGTTCGGAGTAGGTTGTTTTGCAAGGGACAGTTTTTCACTTGGGGCTTACAGACACGCTGTAGTTATCTTGAATGGAAAGGAGTTCTCATTCAGTGAAGAATTAGCTTAAAACAGTCATGACTCTCCCCTCACCAAATAATTGGTGAGGGCTAAGAGGGTGTGAGCAGAAGAACTTCTGTGCTGCTCCCATCATGGTTAAAGAGTCTGGCGCAGTCTAGGAGGCTCGCACACAAAGAACAAGTCACCTGGTGGAACATACAGTCACAAGCAGTATCTCCCAATTGGGGAAATTGAAAGGCTCTTCATTAAAAGGATAAGAAATAAATCAGTAGCTTTTTTTTTATTACTCATTCACAGGATGAAGGTGTCGCTGGCTTGGTCAGCGTTTATTGCCCATTCCTAATTGCCCAGAGGGCAATTAAAAGTCAGCCATGTTGCTGTGGGTCGAGTCACATGTAGGTCAGACCAGTTAAAGATGGCAGTTTCCTTCCCTAAAGGACATCAGTGAAGTCAACGGATATTTCCGACAATGAACAACAGATTCACCGTCTTCCTTAGACTCTTAATTCCAGATTTTTAATGAATTAAAATTCCACCATCTGCCACGTATTAACAGCCCAGCGACAATAGCACTAGGCTGTCACCTCCCAAAAATATGACCTTTATAAATCAAACAACCATAGGTTGAGCGGTTATAGGTTGGACAAAACAGCTATGAATCAGTTATATATAGGCGGAGCTTGGTTCACAACAAAAAAAAAAGAGTATACATGGAAAGAGCAGGAACATGAAACTAAACTGTTAGCTCATTCAGAGAATTGGATCAGGCAGTTGCACGAATGGCATCTTTCTGGACTATATATTTTATCACACTAAGCTCTGATTTAGAATTTCAGATTAATATTTAGCTAGTCAGTCAGCAAGGATGCATACATACTTTAATTTCAGATCTAAAATCCAAGCTAATGGGTGTGAGATATCAACTGTTTCATAACTACATTCAGGTTGAAATGTAAATGCTGAGACTAAGTGTGTATCTCTGTTTTCATGTGGTCCTTCACTCTGGTAATTCTAAGTACTTACAAACTTGAAGAGGAGGAGTTGAACACTCACCTTATGTGCCAAAGATTCTCCTGTCACACAATCTACATGCAACGTCTCACGATCTGCACTCAAATCCGTCAAAGCATCCTGTAGGTTAATTAATAGATGTAAACATGGATGGCAGACAGGAATTACTGGATGGAGAAAGATTAAGGTCATAAAGTCATAGTCATTGAGATGTACCGTACAAAAACAGATCCTTCGGGTCAACTCATCCCTGCCAACCAGATACCCTAATAAATCTAGTGCCATTTGCCAGCATTTTGCTCATATCCCTCTAAACCCTTCCTATTCATATACCCATCCAGATGCCTTTTAAATGCTGCAACTGTACCAGCCTCCACCACTTCCGCTGGCAGCTCATTTCATAAACGCACCACCATGTGAAAAAGTTGCCCCTTAGGACCCTTTCAAATCTTTCCCCTCTCACCTTAAACATATGCCATCTAGTGTTGGACTCCCCCACCCCAGGGTGAAAAGATCTAGTCTATTCACCCTATCCATGCCCCTCATGATTTCAAACTTTATTCAGTTCATGCGCTATCAACTTGGCAGCCACATGGCACAACGATAAAGGAAAATATTTTAATCTGCTTTTTATTAAAGCTCACGATAATTAAAGCTCGTGGAAATTTGACTCCTACAAAGTTGACAGAAACAAGTATAATTTTTAATGATTGGTATATCTATGTGGAGTATGTTAAGAAGGGCAGAGTTTTAGTTTCAGTTTTGAACTGAGCTGGAGTGTCTGTAAATGTGTTTACATGCAACTAAGTAAGGCTTTTAAACAAACCCTAGAAGTGAATAGTTCAATGCTTTAGAAAACAAAAGATTTGGAGAGAAACAAAAAGGTCGCTGCCTAGCAGCAAGGCGTCCTATGACTCAAGGAGGGAAAGGTAGAAACCAGCTCTTTTGGAAAGACAGAACCATACAAAAGGTTTCTTTCAGAGACCATGCAGGTTTCTGCCTGAGGGAACAGGTCAGCAGCAAAAGGTGCTGTTAGCTTAACGACCTCCAGAACCATCAGGGCAGGAGAAGAGTCCTGAGTGGTTTATGTCAGTATGAGAAATCTGCAGAAATGAAAGGCTGTGGAAGGGGTGGTTAAGGAATACATGAGCTGTGCTAGCAATTTATTTAAAGGTCTCATGAAGAAATGTGAACTAAAGAAACCGAGAACAGTGTGCCAACAGAATAAGGAATTATAAAGTGGAAATAAGGTGATCCTTCATGGAGGTTTGAGAATCTGTAACATTGTTGTGGATGGCAGGGGTTGAATCTTTATTTCAGATATTTATAATAAGGCTTTTTAAAATAGTTTCTGTATTGTAAAATAGTGCTTTTTCTCCTTTTTTGTGTAATAAACTTTGATGCTCTTTTAGAAAAGTATCTTGGCAGCATCTAACGTATATGATGAATGACTGAGCACCATGGTAACTAAATTGTAAAAAGGAAACTTGTGGGCTAGGTTTCGCTCTGTGATTGGATTTGTCAGTATTACCATTAGTTGGGATCATTATGACCCTAATGCTTCAGTTGCTAATTGTCCATTCAGGAACCAAGTTAATCAGATCAGGAAAACGCCAGGTTTGATATAGCGTGTGTGCACCAAGTTGACCAATCTTTTCAAAGCACTTTCTGGACCAAACTCTTTACCTAAGCAATCAGTATTTTCTTTCTTGATGTTATTTCAGTCACGGCTTTGAAGTTCATCTGAATTTTAAACAATCAATTTTAAGAACTTTTCAAATTCCTCCATAACCTTGTCCGTCCTACCTCCGTAATGTCTCTCAGTCTCTGAGCTCCTCCAACTCTGATCTCGCATACGTGCCCAACTTCTACTGCGCCACCATTGGTGGCCAAGCCTTCATTTGCCTGGGGTCTTAACTCTTGAATTCTGTAAATCTGTCCCCCACCCCGCCCTAACCCTGCTCCTTGAAGACACTCCTGAAAATCAACTTCTTTGACCAAGTTTTTAGTCACCTACTTTGGTTTGGTGTCATTTCTTGGATGTGCTCATTCTAATGAAGAACATCAAAACACAAGTTAACAATACTATTTAGATGCAGAGTATTGTACAATTTAGGGCTTTGAGGATTTCTCTAGCTGTAATGTGTCTCAGATTGCAATGGCGATCAAATAGTAAAGCAAGACTATTGCTGACTTGAAATCCCCCATCTCTTGAACTCTTGGGTGGATGTGTTTGTCTTGTTGACAACCCAACCCCTGTGAGATCAGCCTTAGTTGGAGATTCTGCATTCAGCTTAAAACATATCATTTTCTTACAGTCTCAACTAGGAAAGGATGTGGGTAAGAAAAGGACAAGAAACATTCACACTATATATATGCCAAACAATGACCATCTTCAACAAGAGAGAATCTACCCAATGTCCCTTGACATTCAATGGCATTATCATCATTGGATCACTCCATTATCAACATCCTGGCTGTTACTATTGACCAGAAGCTGAACTGGACCAGCATTTAAACTCTGTGGCTACATAAGTAGGTCTGAGGCTAGACATTCTGCAGTGAGAAGCTCACTGCCTGACTCCCCAGTGGCTGTCCACTAGCTACAAGACAGAATCAGGAGTACAATAGAATATTCCCCATTTGTCTGGATAAGTGCAGATTCAAAACACTCAAAAAGCTCAGCATTGTCTGGAACAAAGCAACCTGTTTGACTGGAAACCCAAACACCACCTCCAATCCTCACTCCCTTCACCAGGGATATCTAATGGCAGCAGTGTGCATTATCCAGAAAATGCATTGCAGTAACTCACCAAGGCTGCTCTGACACCACATTTCAAATCTACGACCTCTAACACCTTGAAGAACAAGATACGTAGGAAAACCACCATCTGCAAGTTCATCTCCAAGCAACGTGCCATCCTGACTTGGAACTATATCACCATTTCTTCACTGTTGCTGGGTTAAAATCCTGGAAATCCTGTGGGTGTTCATAAACCACAAGAGCTGCAGCAGTTTAAGGAGGGAGCTCACCATTCCCTTCCAGGGTAATTAGGGATTTTCAAAAAAAAAACACAAAAATTTGCAGATGCCAGAAATTAATAAAACGCTGGCCTAGCCAGTGACACCAACATCCCACAAATGCACGATTTGAAAAAGGAGCAGCCAAAATGAAGAACCAATAAAGAGAAAGCAGAGGCGATTGATTCATTTTTCAAATCCCAGCATTATTCAGCTGTAGTGTCACAAAGCAGCAATACAAAATCTGGTCTATTGCTTTGAGGAGACATCTAGTGGTGCAATTAATTACTACAACAGCACTGATAAAATCCTTTCTAAGACAACCAGGGATTTTAAGAACTTGTACATTTAAACTGTCAGAACTAGCAAAATCAGCACATACATGCCCTACATACAAACATCGGTGCCAGTCAGCCTTCAGAGATAGTAGGAACTGCAGATGCTGGCGAATCTGAGATAACAAGGTGTAGAGCCGGATGAACACAGCAGGTCAAGCAGCAGAGGAGCAAGAAGGCTGACGTTTCGGGCCTTGATCCTTCTTCAGAAAGTCAGTCTTGATGCTCACCATTTTGCATCAGCAACTCTGGTTTGTGCAAGGGCAGACTCAACAACAGAGTGGGATAGACAGACAGACAGATGGATGGACTGAGACAGCGTTACCAGTGGGAACAGGCCAAGCCAGCACCCTCAGCATTTGGATCAGAATTAGCAGTATTTCCTTACAAATTGCATATGTGAACTCAGAGTTGCTTTTTGTCCAATGCAGTCCGTGTGGTTTTCTCAGTAGCTGTTTAGGAAGTACACTGATTGACTCCTTGCTCTGAAGAAGGGTCAATGGACCTAAAATGTTAACTCAATTTCTCTCCACAGATGCTGCCAGATGTGCTGAGTTTTTCCAACAATCTCTTGTTTTCGTTTTATTTCTGATTTCCAGCATTCACAGCTCTCTTTTCCTTACACACAAGTTCAGGTGGATTCTGACTGCCCTTTGCTGGTAAACGTGCTGAAAAATATAGCCTGTTTTGTTTTGCACAATTACAGCCCAGAAGGTAGCCAACTGACACTTTGTGCAAGTGTTAGTTTCTGGAACAGTAATTCACTTAGGTTACAGCGCCACCATTGTAACTCTGCACATTCTTTCTTTCCAAATAATAACCTAATTCCCTTAAAAAAAAACTTTGATATAATCTGCCTTCACCACACTCTCGAGCAACGTACACAGATCCTAATTGCTCATTGTGCAAAAAAGTTTATCAGTATTGTTTCTTTCACCAACTATCTTAAATCAATGTCTTCCAGTTTTCTATCCTTCCACCGACAGTTACTCTCCTTATGTGCTCTGTCCAAATCATTCATGATTTTGAATACTTTTAGTGAACCTCCTAATCTTCTCTAAGAAATACGGTCCCAGGTTTTCCAAACTATCAACATCTCTAAAGCTCCTCATCCCTAGGACCATTCTTGTGAATCTTCTCTGTACTCTCTTTAATGCCTTCACAACTTCTCTAAAGACATAATAATCCAGTTGTGGCTGAACCAGTGTTTTGTGATGGTGTAATGTAACTTCCAGGCTTTTGCAATCTATGCCCTATTACTGAAGCCTAAAATGGTCTGTGCTGTTTCTCTCTCCACAGATGCTGCCAGACCTGCTGAATTTCTCCTGTAGAGAGATCGTACGAACTGCAGATGCTTTCTCCTGTAATTTGTTTTTGTTACCTTCATCAACCCTCCTATCTCAGCAAAAAAAAACCACAATAAAACCAGTTAAAAGAAAACACAAAATTAATTTTGCTGTCAATTATCATCTCTAGAAGTTTCTCCACCACTAAGTTAAACTGACTGACTGCGTTACAGAGCTGAGGGAAGACTAACCTCCAGTGAAAGAGTTCCTCTCACGGCCACCACCACAGTCTCCTTTTTGTGATCCAGTGCCACATAAAATGGAATTTCGTAAATCTGCACCAAGTGGGTGAAAATAAGACAATATCTGAGATTTAGAACAGCCACAAATCATTCTGAATTAGTTTTTGAAAATAGCTCACTATTACTCAGCTGTCTTTCACTCTCAATGTTTACAGAAACCGAAAAAAACCCCCACAAAATGGAGAACAGCAAAAGTGTCACCCTGTCTCTCGAGATTAATGATAGTACCGTAGGTAGGCATCTCAATCTCTCTCACATGCTGAAGCAGGTTGTTATGTTTTGTAAGATTTGAGCTACTGAAATAAGGAAAGAACAAGTGGTTGTAGCACACGAATGATCTTTGTAATTACATGTACTGCTGGCTTTGCAAAACCTTCAATTTATCAGTTCCTCTCTACACACTAATGCCAATTGTTCTAGGAACAGAAAATATTTGCAAACCACAATAAAAAAAACACAAGAACAAGTTTGTATTCTTAAGAGCTTGCTATATCGCCAGAACATCACATTGCATTTTACATCCAATGGATTACTTTGATAGCACAGTAAATGGCAATTTGTATACAACAAGCTCCCACAAGTAGTAATCAAAGGGATGCCAGATAAATCTGTCCCTCAGCAGGAGATCCTTAAAAAAAAAGTTTTTGTTCTTAGGAAACTGAACAGGACATTTAATGATAGCTGTCTCATCTGAAGTTCTGCACTTCCATATCATAGCATCCCTTCAGCACTGCCCCTCCACAGCGCACTGCTCCATCAACACTGCCCCTCCAAGGGCATGTGACATCCCCTTAGCACCTTCGATTGAAGTTAAGCTGCAAATTTAGAGCTGCCATGTTGTAGATAGTTTTGTTTTTTAGCCTGCCCATGACAGTTGTTACCTTGTTGTGAAAACTGATGTGGATAAAATCCCGGTTTTGCAGCCCTGTAGTTTGCAGCATGGAGGCGAAATGGCAGCCCACATGATCCCCACCGACTATGTCCTGCTCGGGAAATTGGCTTCTACAACTTGAGAGAGAAATAACTTACATTAAACTGATGAGTCCCGTTTCACAAGTTTTAAAGTAATTGTGATTACAAACCAGATAATGAACACTCGGCAATAGTCACAGTTCTTCATGCAAACCCAAGGAGGATGTCTGGACCTCTTTCCTCCCCGCCTTTGCCCCACCCCTTCAAAAGTTGTTGAGGTTGAACAAGGTTAGACAAAAATGGCCATTTGAAAACATCAAGACTTATAGTTTTTGTTCCGCAAAGGCGTTAAGGCAATTAGAACCTGGATGCCTAGATACAGATCAATCGTGATTTAGTTAATTACCTTCTCCCATTCCTGATGTCGATCAATAAAGGCTATGACTGACTAATTCACCCTGACACTATTGCTCAATAAAATGAGTAACTTGCTTCCAATTCAAACAAATTCAGCGTAAAGTTGTAACTTGCACATATGTTCTTCGGTCTTGAAAATTGAGTGAGGTTAAAACGTCATTACTGACAGGATTTTAGCCAACACAATTTTCGTTCCTTCCCCAAAAAAAACCCAAAATATCACCAGTACACATCCGTAGCTGCATTTGCAGTTAAATTTCCTGGCAGCCAGTACTTTTCAACAGCTTCAGTCTTATCAGATCTAACTGGACTTCCTCTGAATGTAGCAGTCAGCTTCCAGTACAGGATGTTTCATGGTACATATGGTCAAGAGAAAGTTTTTTTTTTAAAATAAAAGAAAACTTACATTTGGTCACCCTAGGCAGCATCCTTTTCAGTTGTGAAGACAGGTGCAAAGCTCCCATTTAGTACCTCTGCCTATACAAGATCATCTCTCTTTTGGTCCATAAGCAGCCCTGGAAAGACTATAACCTGAAAGGTGTGATTCTAAAGGGGATGCAGAAGCAAAAGGAACTGGAAGGTACATGTGGACAAATCACTGAGGGCAGCAGGACGGACTGAGAAAGCAGTTAAAACATACAGAATTCTAAGCTTTCTACAAGCCTAAGAACTGATATGGTCTCAACTGGAGGAACGTATCCAATTTGAAGCATTCCACATAGTTCCAGAGATGAGAGATCTCAGTTATGAGGATTGACTGCCAAACCCAAGACTCTTTTCCTCAATGAACAGAATGTTGATACAGCTGTTCAAAATCACATATGATCTGGACAGAGTAGATAGTGATAAAGCTGTCCCCATTGGTGGAACAGTTGAAAACCAGAGGACACCAGTACAAAGTTAATGACAAAAGAACACGTGGTAGCATGAAGAAAACATTTTTTTACATAGTGAATGGATAGGATCTGGAATGCACTGCCTGAAAGTGTGATGGAAGCAGACTCAATCATGGCCTTCAAAAGAGAATCCAGATAAATATCTGAAGAGAAAAGATTCCCAGGGTTACAGGCAAAAGATGCAAGAGTTGGACTGGCTGAGTTGCTCTTGTAGAGAGCTGACAGGACACAATAGGTCGAATGGTCTCCTTCTGCGTTATAATCATTCTGCAATCCTATAAAGAGACTAGTCACCATAAAATATATTTTAATTGTAAGAAAGAATTTCAATCAAAACAGCACTGGAAATCATGTGCTCAATTGTCAACAAATGCAGAAGTGCAGCAATCGTGGGGACTCTAGTTTGAAAACTAACCAGAGTAAAATATTGGACTTGGTGTCATAATTACAGTCATGGTTATCACAAGATACAGAAGGCATCTTCAGGACCATTCTGAGCAGGTTGTAAGTACTGAAAACCATTAGGACTTACCACATGCAGTTATGGCTCAGCCTGCATATGCCAGTTAGGGGGTTACTGAAGATGTACAATGGCCATCCATATGCTGCAACAGCAAACTGCATGTAGTGAGCAGAGTTCTCCAATTCTATATCCAGCTCTTCAGCCTAGTAAAAACAACAGATGATGCCAAGACACGTAACTTAATAAGACATACCCAACAGAAATTAGATTCTTAGGTCAATTCCAGGAGACTGTGATGGACTAGGGAACTAGCTGGCTCAAGCTGCTTCTGTCCTGGATTTTAGTCATAGGGTAACCCATCAATGCACCTAATAACGTACAGTTTATGAGTAGCCTACTACTGCATGATAGTCCTTGCAGATATGTTCATACTGATGCTTTCACGTCAGCCAGAACGGCCTGAAACATTATCTCATGGTGCATGCGTGTGTGTATATGCATGCATGTGTGCACGCACGTGGTGACTGTTGGGTGATTGTGTACAAAGTGGCAAAATGATCAGTAATCTATGTTTCTGGCAATTAATGCATGGATAGTTATATGTTTGGTATTGACTGACTACTGCTGGAGTGCAAGCAGCAATTGGCAATACATGATACATTTATGGTTATTGATTGTTAACATTGAGCCCCAACCAGAATCCAATACAGCACCGTCAGTATTATGGCAGCAAAAAGTTTGAAAGCTTGTCTGTGGTTAGCAAAGAGCTTCTTCCTGCCCCAAAATTGCAAAAGGAATGCTGCTGAGTCAACACCCCCAAAGACTTCTTAAAAGGGATATAACTCAAAGTGGAGAGGGTTATGACAAGTAGCTGAGGCGACTAGCACAGATGCATATAAAGGAGGGGCTAGATAAGAATGAGAGAGGAAGCAGCAGAGCAGTGAGATAAAGGGGAGTTGTGTAAAGCATAAACGTCAACACTGGACAGTTGACTGAGTGGTATGTTTCTGTGCAATAAATACTGTTACATTCTGCTACTGGTGATCAGTGTTAACCTTCCGAGAGATCCAAAGAACCATTTCTCCTGCCACTTTACTGATTTCTGCAGTGTCAATCTGACTGTATTAAAGATAAGGAACAGAAAAAAGTCATATCTTTTGTATGTTTAATAATTCAGTTCCAGTAATTGTGAAAATGGAGAATGAGCTCGAGTATTCTTTAGAAATTAAAAAGTCACTGCTGGCTTAATAAGATGTAAAATTCTCAACTGTGAACTTACAGATTGTGGTTGAGGGAGAGTACAAGCCACCACCTCCAGATCGCTGCACTTCTCTTTCTTATCCTGCTCCTGATGCAGGAGAGTCAGTCCTGCAGCGATATCACCAGGCACCAGGTCTGTATCCTGCCCACAGAGATAAAACAGTGGTAAGGATATAAATATTTGTCTGTAAAATCTAAAACTCCAAAGGCATGTTTGTACATATACATCCTATCTCCCCCCAACAGAAAGGGATCTAAGAAAATTAAGATTATCTGAAAAATGCGTGTGTCATGTGGGCCAACATTTATTGCCCATCAGAAGGTGGTGGCGAACAACTTTCTTGAAATAATGCCATCCACGTCATGTAGATACATCCACAATGTGGTCAGGGAGAGGATTCTAGAATTGGACTCAGTAACAAATGTAGGAAGTCAAGGGTGGCGAGAGACTTGGAGGGGAATTTGCAGTGGTGGTGTTCTCATGCCTACTGTTCTCATGTTCTACTGCTTTATCCTTCTAACTCCTAGCCTCTGACCTGTGTGTATATGTCTGATCCAGTCAGTTTCTGGTCAATGGTAACTCCATTTTTATAGGTGGGGTGCACAGAGAACAGCGATATTCAATGATGATAATGACATTGAATGTCAAGGGGTGATGGTTAGATTCTGTAACTGGAGATGGTCATTATTTGGCATTGGGTGTGGCATGAACGTCAAAACTAAAAGAAACAAACAGGACAAAGGAATGCTGCATTAAAGTAAAACATTGGCTATGGAACTGGGCCTGTCTTGAACATACTAAATATCTCAAATTCCTCTCCATAACCCCAACCCCACTAAGATCACCTGCTCCCTGTGCTTTATCAGTATGACTTTCAGCAAAGGATCAAGAATGTCATGGAGATCATTCTCCTGTAAAGTTTAGGCCAGACAATACAATTTTGTTTTAAAATTCACATGTCTGACATTGGTAACTTTCACAAATTAGGTATTTTCACTAGATGGATGGGGAGCACATGAACAGTCCTGGAGCTTACAAAATTGACAAAGAAAAAGTCAGTCCAGTCTCCCTGTGATTACATAATCACTTTGGACAGGACAAAAAAGAAATGGGCTGCCTTTGGAAAAAGAAAGTCTGGGAAACTCCTCTTAGACTTCCTCACAGTTAATCAAAACCAGTCCAGGATATACATGGACCAAGTGTGATCCGTAAAGTCACTCAACTTTTGTACAATATGATCTCTAACTGGATCAGGAAGCATTCAGCTCTCTTGAAATGAGATTAGGAGCAATTGCAAGAACCTTTACCTATGGTTCAGTACAAATCTGAAGCTCTTCCCAGGTGACAGAAAACATTTCAGCAAGTTTTAAATTTTCAAAAATATTTAACTAGCTCAAGAGAAACAATAAAGATGAATACAAGTTCTCCTGTACAGTTTACATTAAGAATGTCAAAAACTCTAGATAAACTACAACACTCAGCAAACCTGAGTATTTAGGATAGATATAAAAAGTGCTAGAGAAACTCAGCAGCTCATCATCTATGTAGATAGAAACAGATTCTGATCCATTAAGACTCGTCTTCAGAAGTATTAATTGCTTAGCAAATGAATTGCTCCAATTTGCAAGAACAGCCCTGACTTTTAAAAACTTTTCTTCTTACTGCCATGTCAACTTAAAGCAAAATGGTCTGTGGCATTTGATTTGACATGTTTCCCATTTTAAAAAAAAAATCTTTAAAAAATCAACTTACCAGAAAAAAGGCAGAGAAGAGTTCTGCAATGTCTGTAAAGGCAGCCCGGTTGTCCTTTGTATCTTTTGTAACGCAGCAACACATCAGCTTCAATCTGCACTCCCATACCCGTGACGCCATAGACTTTGCTTGGACTGCGTCACTGCTCTCCAAGTCATGGGCCATGCTTACTAAGTAGTTTAAATGTTTGGGTCTGCCCAGAGGGTCGAAGAAAATTAAGACAGCAACCACCGTGAAGAATAAGAAAACCCAACTGTGAAAAGGATATTTTTTTCCAGGATTAGTATTGAAACCTCAAACCTGACTTTTGTAAAAACAAGAACTACTTGATTCCTGATCTATTCCTTAAATTGTACAGTTCAGTTGTGGCTCAGCAGATAGCGCTCTTGCCTGAATCAAAAGGTCATGGATTCAAGTTCAACTCCAGAAACTTGAGCACAAAATCGAGACTGACGATCTTAATGCAGTACTGAGGGAGTGCTGCAGTGTCAGAGGTGCCTTATTTCAGACAAATCATTATATTGAGACTGAAACATTTGCTAACTTTTATAACTAATAGGCTGAAAATGCTTTCTTACCTGGCAATGACAGCTATAGTAATCGTGGCAACAACAGAGGGAGCACAGCCCTGGCTTTCATCATTGACCCAGACAGCACCCAAGAATGCCCAGATCAGTTCAGGTAAATAAAGAGTAGTACGGATATAAATCAGAGCCGGGATATGTTGTCTTGGACCTGGCTTGGTGATCGTTCCTGTAAAGAAGACGACCAAGAATATAAGGAGTGTGGTAATTCAATGTTTTTCTTTCATGCTAGATGTCATACCTTTATGGAAGGATAAGTTGGTAATAGTGTTATTATGATCAGCTGGGTTTAGGATTTGAGAATTTGAATTTCCTCTCTGAGCATATAGTTCTCTAATTTATATCTAATATATCCACTTGACAGTTAAACAGGGCCTCAGCAAAATGGGAGACAACAAGGTGCAGGGCTGGATGAACACAGCAGGCCAAGCAGCATCATAGGAGCAGAGAGGCTGACGTTTCGGGCCTAGACC